CTATTACGTACCCCGCTGTGTTTATCCCGTGTAGCGCTATGCTGACGTGTCCAGATGATCAGAAATAGAAATTGCTTATTGTTTGTTAACTGTCCGTTTACTCAGTTCACTAAAATAGCCTTTGCTTCACCTCAAGAACCACGCTCTACATTCAACATGTAATGAAAACGCTGAATATATTAGGATTAGAGAATAACGAAAACAACCGCGTTCTGTGGCAAATACAGTGTAGTTCCATGATTTACTTAAGTTGTACAGAAAATGATATCGAGGTCAACTTTACTTCCATGATAGCCTTTTTTTTTACTCTGACTCTCGATGAAGCTATATCTTCACTTTCTTATGTTTAGAAATTCTTAGACTGGCGATCGGCATTTCATGTAATCGGTTAAGTTTCACATTAGTGGACGAACCGAAGAGGAAGGACCTCAAAACACGATGTCAATTTGTTTAATTTTTCGAGAGTTCGATTAAACTTCTAAGAATTTGGTTTCGCAATCGATAGGCGTACTTATTCATGAAAGTGATATGTAGAAATAAACACCTTGTTCCCGTGTCGCGCTATGCTGAAGTGTCCAGATGATCATCATAAAAAATTGCTTATTGTTTACCAATTGTTCATTCACTCAGTTTCATAAAACTGTTCTTCAGGATCATGACAGAATCGATCTTTTCGCTAGGTTCTAACGAAAGTGAGGTCATATTGCAAAATTTTCAAATAATTGCCCACTTTGCTCGAATAACCATTCTCTTGTTAACTGCCCGATACTTTTTACCCATCAACCGCTTCAACACTGTGGCAAGTTTTAAATAAGTTTTCAAATATCTACAGTCAAGAAACCTATTTTGTTATCATTTTAAGAGATGCACTTCTCTGATCTTAAGTGTGGTAGTCTATTTTGAGAGTAAACTAGTCTGTGATCAGGCTAATGCGTTGTGATCAAACACATGAAATCAACATGCTAATTTGGTTTTTGCAGAAAATACTTTTTTTTTTTAATTTTCTCTTATAATTTCGTCACAGAAAATATATTCTATCTGATTTCACTATATCCTCAAGAACAGGCCTTTTTTTGGTGGTGAGAGCTCAGTGTTTCTTCCTGAAAAATTTGACCGTCGCTTCACATTTATTAGACAAAGGAAGGTTACGCAATCACGGCGACTTTGTTGGCGGAGAACCAATTTGCGTGACAAACTTTTCCTTTTTTGCATTGTGTGTATCTCTGATGGATACTTAAAATAACACAAGTAAACATTGCTTGGTTTACTACATATACCAAATTAGACCAGCGGCGGGTAATCAGGAGACTGAAAACAGCTGAGTTGACAATTTGTTCACAATTAGAAGTAAAATTTATGAGTTGTGTCTTTTTGATGCGAGCGAGATGAAGAAGAGGTATGAATGTCTGTTATATGTAAGTTTCTAAATCAATAAATCAACCATTTTTTCACAATTTGTTTTAAAATGTCTGTTTAAAAGACAAAAATAAGTGTCCAAATAAGTGAATGAGGCTTTTAAAACGGAAAACTGAATTTCAACGGAAAAAATAAAAAGTGAATGGAGATTTTTAACCACTGAGTAAACAAGAAATGAACTTTCCACAATTACAAATACTTTGGAGTATGAATTTATAATGATGTTTATATCATCATCGTTAACTTACACTCGATCTATTCGTTTCCTGGAGAAATAACTTGGAGAAACAATTTGGAAAATATAAAACATGAATTACAATGGAAAAAAAGAGCATTCAAAACATAAAATTAGTAAATATCTCCATGATGGTGAAATGTTGAACAGCTGCAGCTCCTCTGGTTGGCAATTCTTGAACTTTCTCGAAGAAGTGGAAACCAGCGGAGCATTCTTGGATAAAAACATAACAAATGGTTAACAGAGTTTACCTCTCATCCGCTGTTTCTGGTTACTCGCCTTTTAAAGGTGGTTCAAAAGAGTTTAGTTATTTTTAATCGTTGTATTTTAACGTACCGAAGCTTTAACAGTTTCCTCTTTTCGAAATTTCTATACGACATGCGAAACTGTTATTTAACAATTCTTTCTATAAAAACTAATGTTACCAAAGCAACACTCCATCCTCTGAAACAACGTCCTTTCTCACTTTATTTTACTGTAACTCGAAAACAAGCCCGGTGACCCTAATTCTCAGTCAACGTATCGCAATCAGCATATACAAATATGCAAGTTATATAGAGAAGGGAACAACTTGATTCAACAGGTTTCTCTTTTTTGTTTTGTTTTTTTGTTTTTTTCTTCGCTTAAGAACTTAATAAGTTCATTTCTGCGAATGGAGGGAATGGCCAATCTTAACATAACTGACACACAACGGGCGTCTAATTTGTCAAAAATCTATCTTCTGTTGTGCCGTTAAATTATATAAAACTGGAGCATCAAAAGTTTGTTGAAAATCTTACTTACATTGGAACGAAAACCACTCGCAAAGTATATGTCCAGTCGAGACTTATGGCAATTCTGTTTCATGTCCGCGATTTCAGCTTTCATTTGATTGTTCTTACGTTTTGGAGGGCGACAACAAGGCATTCTGCGTTAAGGGATATTCTGCCATTCGGCCACTCCTCCAATTCTGCGTTCTGCCAATCTACCGTTCTATCATTCCGTTGAATAGGGTCACCCTGTTAAACTCAAGGTATGGTATTTCGGACCTTGCTTGCTTCACAAATTTAGCGGTTCATCGGCGCATTAGTCGCTGATTGAAATGGTAAAATGCTCTGTCTTCGAATAAGTAAAATTTTTCTCGATAGTTTCCACGATGTGCAGATAAAACCTATTTAGATATTAGATTTAAGGAAATACCTGGTTTTTAATAACATGCCGGTAAGGCCACTGTGAATTATTTTGAGGTGTTTATCATCTTTTGTAGTGTGACGGCAAGAACTGAAAAAAAAGATATATTCCGATCTACTGGGCATAATTCGCTGATTCAAACGGTAAGGTACTCCCCGTTCAAAGAAAAAAGTTTTCCTGTAGGTTTTCATGTTGCACCGATCACCTTATGAGATATAGGAAAAACTTTGGTTTTTTTTTACGCGCCATCGTGTAATTATTGTGAGATGTTTCTCGTCTTCTATAGTACTCCAGAACAAATAATGAGTAGTACAGTGAACATCGAGCAAAAACTGGATCAAGATCGGAATTCTATTGTAACCATCACTCACTCACTCACTCACTCACTCATTTTGACAACATAAGTAGCCTCGCCTCCTGTAGGAGACAGCCACAAGACAAGTAAAAAATTATTCCTACCGACTTTACAACATCCTCTTTTCCCGGAGGATGACGAGGAGCTCTGCAAAGAATCATTAGAAATCTCGTCATCATTATCGTTTCGTGCTTGTGCATGTCAAAGAACTTCACGCAATAACTGCCAAAAAATAATAATAAAAGAAAAAGTAGCAAATTAAAAAATGATGGTTGATAAGAATACTATGAGTTGAAAGAAAATTCTCGTTTGCTTTAACTGAGTAGGAAACACGCAAATTCATTCAATATAAAATACAGTTGAATGAAAATAGAATAAAATAAAGATAGCAAATTGCCGTGGCTTCAGAAAATAAGTGTGCACCTTTTTGTTAAAACCATTCTCGTGTAGCTTAATGTGATTGTGACGTCGCCATTTACTGTAAGCAAGTTTGAAATGAAAAAAAGCAGTTGACTGCAAGCGTAGATCAAAACACTGTACCGCAATTATTCAAAAGCGACTGACGAGACTTAGTTTACCTAATTATCATTTTAACTAGCGAAATGTCATCAGTCGCATAATTCCAAAGTTTCCTTTCATCAGAACTATTTTTCCCAATAATGCATCCCTTGAATCTTTCGGTTCTAGAATCAAGCAGTATTTATGGGATAAACCTTTTTTTTAAAGGGTTTTTTTTATTTCTTGCATCCTTAGCCTGGCTTATCGAAAAGATGACGTGTAATTCAATATGAAGTAACCTTATTGATATTGAATGCTAAATGGGAATATAAATATGGGGGGGGGGGGACGAGACAGCTCTACCACGTCATAACTGTCAAATTTGATCATGATTGTGTTATCAGGAATCCAAAACACCAAATTTGTCCCCCAGTAGTTAGAGCTTGCGCAAAAGAAGTCACTTTCCCCATAGCACACATGAAAACACAAGGACAATCGTTTGGTATGGCTTAATGTTATTTAAAACTTTTTTGGTAAAAATGGTTTTCCGTCAGGGGCTATTGCAAAGAGATTTACAGGACAAGTAGATGTTGCTTTCACAACCGTTATGACATTGTTATAGAGTTTTAAAAAAACCATAAGTTAATGTTAAAGTTATTTCTGAGGCATACAAATGCAGCTGTCTTTGAGATTCCTTATCATACATGTTCATATGACCTTATGTCTGTTAGAACAATGTTCTTCAGTACATTTCTTTCATTAACAAGTGTAGCCTCATGTTATGGTTATTGATAACACAAATACAGTTTTCATACAGTCTTGGAGATCAATTTGATCAATAAAATAATGACGTTAATGTTATATTTTGATCATGAAGTCTTCTTGAGTCACTTTTCTTTAATAATAATTTTTTTTAACCAAGCATTAACCTTCAATGATTGACTCAATGGCTGATATACTGTACAGTAATGTTAACACCAACTGACAGTTGGTGTAGTTTTGGGACAAAAAACAAGGCATAACTTGCTTAAAATGAGAAATGTCTAACAATATCTCGAGTGATCTTAGACTGAGTTTTAGCAATTATGCACCATTTACAGCTATGGTTAAAAGTTTGCGATAAAGTCTCACCACCTCTTGCCAGTCGTTTGGAAGGCTGATTCCAAGGGCATTTCTAGCATAATCAAAGTAGTCTTGATACTCATTAACACTTCTCTGAATTATGTGCAATAATCAATTGCAATAATCAATTTGTGACTGAGGAACATTTAGCAGAAGGTTTCCAACAGCCCCATGAAACTCAGGCAAACAGAATAGTGAATCAGTCTACCTAATTCTGTGGCTGTTCCAGTGTTCTTTAACAATGTCAGGGTCTTTCTGGATAACTGGTGCAAAACAGTTCCACAAACATTCCATACTTAATTCAGAAGAAGAGTACAAGACACCCTCAAGTTCCAAATCTTGGAAAAAATTGCGCCACCATGTTGACCTGCTCCATGAATAAAATGACCACCACCCAATTCAATTCTTCGGTTTCTAGGTGATGAGATATAACTGTCGGCATCAGCATCATCATGAAAATAAGACTGCATTAATGCTGCCAATCCACTTTCAGTGCCAAGATCTGTAATTAGCTGTCTAGGGCACCCTTTCAATTCCTTTACAGTACTTAAGAAGTAAGTGGCAGTGTTATCTGGTGAGTTGTTGGACCTGGTAACCTCAAGCCATAATATTTTCCAGCTGAAGCCATCCATGGCCCCATGTATGGGAAACCCAAAGGGCTTCATTTTGTCATAACCATCTATGTGCTAAGTATCATTTGGCCCAAGACAGTGATAAGTCCTCCTCTTCAACCGGTGAGTTTTCCTCAACTGGCAACCTTCTGGATCTACCTCTTTTAATATATCTTGAACTATTATCTAGGAACAGTCAAACCTTCCATCTTTAAGGTGTGCCATCATGTATCCCCCACATGATCCATGTCCACGGATAATCTCAAGGGTATGTTTTCTAACTGCCTCTAAAACCTCACCGGAATCATCCGCCTTAAAAAACTACTTCTCGTAAGTCCATATCTCTTTAATTGCCTTAAAAGTGTTACTTATTTCATGGTCGTGACGCTTAGCAAGGAAATGAATGATTTCTTCATAACTAAAACCGCGTTGAAAATAATATTTGATAACGGTCTCTTCATCAATTTCCACCTCAACTTCATTGCTAGAGTCTTTATCCTCACTTGAATCTTCTAGCCTTAGGTCCTTAAAAATATAGGGATGAACACAGGCCACTTTTTCTACTTCTTAACATGTACAATACAACACAATACAATGCCAAGAGAATCAAAGAGAAAAAAATATAATCGACTGACTGTTTGCAAGCGTACAGTATTTTCCACCTTTTGAAAAATCCTTAATTTATCCAGGCACATACATTATGAACGCTTTCTTTTTACACACAGGCTACATGCACAATCTTATTCCAGACATGTGCTAATCAGCTAATCCGTGGCAGTGTCTTCTCACGCCTATCGTTATTTGGAACAAAAAGAAATTCAAATACGAACAATTTAAATTAAGAAACGTACCTCTGCCACAGCTTTTGCAAAAGTTTGCATCTTCGTCAACTTCCGAACCACGCGCGGAGCAAAACATCGTGAGCTCGAAAAATGGCGGTTTTTTGAGCGAGCGGTGTGTTACTGTTACACGACATACCATTTTAGATGCCAATAACAACCGCTGACCAATCGCTGACCAACCGCTGACCAACCGCTGACCAACCACTGACCAACTCGTTTTCTTTATTTTGCCGTGAGTTAATTTTGTTTTGCTGTAATTGAATTTTGTTTTGCCGTGACAGTTGTGGGCCACCGTCGGACAAGAAATACATTTTTAAGCAAAAAACTCGATAAATAAACCATAAAAAAACCTAATATGACATGTAACTTGTGTTAGGGACGGAAGCACATGTAGCTCAACTGAAATAGAGGTGAGAATACTTTTAATGATTGATTCATTACATCTACAGCACAAATGTTCAGCAATATTTCTCTCCTTTCCTTTCCTATACCTCGCTTCCTTTTCTTAGTTTGAATCTGAAAATGAATATTTATAGAGTATACAGTTGTATTTACTTTTTATACTTATCTATCTTGTTTGATAATTAGCCTCTACCAAATAAATTTATCAGGTTGTCAACACATGTCACCATTGGATTGCTTCAGAAGTTCTTAGCTTGGAGACTACACTTGGGCTCTGAAAACATGGTGAGAAGAGTTCTGTATTAAGACATCAGAATTTTATTTGTTGCTAAACTGCTGGTATTTACTACAAGTACAGATAACAATGAAGACAAAACAGACTATAATTTTACTTGTACATGTAGTTGAAATGGTACAGAATATACTAACCTGGCAGGAATAAATGCAACTTTGTAATTTTGTCCTTTCAGGTGGGCATCCTTTATGATAAAACAGAAATGGGAAGGGATCTTACACTGAAGTACATCAGTGATAATCTCTGTCCTCCGAAGGTAATTGCTGGTCTGATTCTCCAATATCATCTATAAAACAAAGCGGGTCAAACAGCCATGCATAGGTACATTTATCTGACGATACCATCCACCTTACTGCAGTAATAAAGAGGGTCTGCTTGGGTACTTATAAGGGATTACCTCTCAATACCCATTCTCCTGTACTTCCTTATAATTGCTGATCTTGTTGCTAGTTCTTAAGTTTCTTATAACATTTTCCTGTTTTAGGAACACTCCGCGCCCTTGATTCTACATTACAGAGCTATGGATGTAAGCTTTACAAGATGACCAACTGTATGGTCAACTCAAAATTGATTGTTGTTTAATGTTTTAGTAACGTTTTAGTAATACATGTTTTGTAAAGCTTAATAACACTCCTGAGGAGTGACGATGTTCATACTTCATGAAATTTGAAAAAGTTTAAAAAGTCCGATGTGCTATATATAACATCTATAACAGCTTGTGTTTCGCTGTATCGATCACGGTTCAGTGTATTTAGTATTTATTCGTGATGAGTTCAGTCAGGTTCATAGGAAAACAAACGAGGAAGAAACTAAGCAAGATTATTGTAGCTGCATTTATACTGAATTTAGGGAAAATCTCTTATTAAAAGAAAATTTGTCTTTTATCTTTCGCTTAAGGTTGAGCGACAGTATAACAGCAATAATGGCCCGTGTTAATATGAAAAATATGATAAGGAAACAGGTCATTTCAATGATTCCCATTTGTCCTCTCGCTTCCCTCGATTCCGCATTAGTGATGTAACCTAATTGGGTTTTGCGTTTAGTTGATTGTGGTTTTAATTGAATAATTCCTAAGGTTACAGTATCTTTTTCATTGTTGAAGTCGCCCTGTCTACTGTCGAGCCTGATAAATGGCTAACGCTCGAAACGTCAGCTTTAAAAACTCTTTATGGTGGCCAATTTATATTATCAACTCAATTGATTAAACCAAATTATCCTATGAGCTACTCGTAGAATAATCTTCTTAAACGAAAAGAACCAAAAGATAGATTAGCTAAGAGCACAGGAAGCGACCGAACAAGCCCCCTGACCCGTCCCTCTCAGCTAGTTTCCTCTCGCATTACTGTGGTTTCTCTTCGCACTTAACGAGAGTTCGCCCAGTTTTCTTCCTATGATCCTCAAGCAACAACCCAAGTAGAAGCCTCCAGAATTTCTTATTCCTCTCAATACCTCAGGAGATAACGAGTTCTGTTTTTATCACAAACTGAGTACAGGTGTATCATGTAAGTTGTGCTTGGGTGCTGCCCATGGTCTATCAGAGTACAATCGCACGACTTGCGTCATACAAAACATGATGACCCTGCTTTCTCCGATGAGCCATACATATGGATAATATATAATACACATTTTCCACTATATATACACTTTTCCGTGGCTTTGTTTACTCATGAATCACAGGCGAGGTCGAATTGGGATGAGAACATGTTCGAGACACTTGCACTGTAATTCGTTCCAGGTGCTCTTGTTTTTGTAACCACATTCTTAACTGGAAAGATTCTCGGTAAAATAAAATTGAATCTAGCCACCATTTGACTCTTCCACACCCTATATTCCTTCCTGATATATTATTACCTCTGTTTTTTCTTCTCTCACCAAACTATTCTATTGTCTCATTCCAGAAGATCGTTTTAATATCGTTAGAACACTTCGACACGAGGCAGACAAGTGAACAATTGACAGGTTGAAATACAAAAGCAGTTAATGACACACTTTTTTCACAAAGTGAATACTTACAACATTTGATAGATAATTCTTGCGGTTTTCTCGAACACCAATGCATAATTTTTTAGTGTTTCCACAATCGTTACACTTAAAGAAAATATCTCTACGCTAAGAGAGAAGATAGTTTCTCTCCTTTACACATTTGAATGCAGATTCAAACTGAGGAACATCTAACTATCAAATCAGACTCCGTTCTGTCCGCCAACGTTATCACTTCATTGAAAGACACGTCTCAAACAAGTCTATGATTTACACACGCCGCTTATTCCGTTGTCTAAATGACGCTCTTAACTTGTTAAAAAAATATATTTCCAAACAAGTAAACAAGTACTATTCCAAAAGACTTCACGACACGCCTATTTACAGCTTAAAACACTCGCTCATGAACATGCACAAGCATGATCATTTAAATAACAATTACCGATACATCGGTGAAAGCATGCACTGACTACTATAAGATAGGATACGTAGGCCTATATCGACACTTCATACCTCTCTACCTCGTAATACCTCTAACTTAGTTCTCGTACAAAATAAGACACGGTAACAACATCATTGACACACTCGGCTGCACCTCGTGTGCCATTTCTTTTGTTCTTTGGGTAGTTTAATGTTATCAACTGAGTTGAAAACGTAAATTGGCCACCGTAAAGAGTTTAAAGGTTGACGTTTCGAGCATTAGCCCTTCGTCTTAGCGACTGGCGAAGGGCTAACGCTCGAAACGTCAGCCTTTAAACTCTTTACGGTGGCCGATTTACGTTTCCAACTCAGTTGATAACACTGAATTACCCCATTATACTCTCCAACCGACGCAGTACCACAATTTCTTAAGAAACTAACCCCCTTTATTTCTTTGTCTTTTGTTCTTACCACACTTTGACGTCATTTTTGATCTATTACTGCAGAGACGCAAGCAAATAGATCTATTTGTTAAAGACATAGCGAATAGCGAAACCAATCAGATTGCAACACCTATGTTATATCGCTAGTAGATTGCTTCTGACAGGTATTATTCCCGGGTTCAGATTGAGACCTATGCTATATGGAACAACTCTGAATAAAACTATTAAGTTCTCACGCGAACTAAAAATAATTTCGCATGACCTTCATCATCGCCCGACATGCTTGTTCAAATGAGGAATTAGAACAAAATCCTGGTTACGTTAACTGATCCACTGTGTAGCAAGCCTGTTTGTACTTCAGTTCAACCCTTCGATGCCCTTCCACAGGTGTATGGGAAACTGTATCGGAGAAACGTTTCCAGTTTTCCACCTCCGGCAGTCAACCGTGTGCTTACTGTGTATAACAGTAGCATAATTCAAACACTTGTTTCATTGTGAAGCTTTTCAGGCGTAGTAGGCTTCAGGTGCGGAGTAGGTACAAACACCGCAGTTTTTGTTATATCTATCCACTCTTTCTTTGCGGGATTAGGCCGCTCTTCTCGCCACAAAGACTTGGATGACCGCGGAGTTCGCTCTTTTTGCGTTTCGCCTGGACCTCAGAAAGAAAGAATTTCCGAGATTTTGAACCAGATTTATTTAACGTTAAATCAAATTGGATATCAACATGAATTCAAGAAAAATCTGGAACGGAATTGGTCAAAAATCACACCAGCCTTTAGTTGTTTGTTCGAAATTTACAAAGGTGTTTTATCGACCAAGGGAAAACGTTAGTAATTATAGATCAAGAAAGTGTTGCTGTTGAATTCAATTCAAACTTAAAGCAGCAGCTGTAAAATCAATTGTTCTTAGCACTCTCGACAACATATGAACGCTTCTTTTTATTCGTATCGATTTTTACACCGCATTATAATATCTGTAAGGTACATCTAGACGTAGATCCTATGTTTCCACATGCAAAAACTAGAGCGGCGGAAGGTAGTAGAGGGTTTTTAGACTGGTTAATTAATAAATTTTCATTTCTACTGGAGGCAGTTTCTGCAGCCAAGCAAGTGGCGACTTAACATTTATTATTTCACCTCTGGTTTCAAATTAAAACGATTAACTCGACTGAGGGTCATAGACATTCTCTTTTGGTGTTTCGAACTCGCTGACCACCGTGCTTTCGTGTCCACCCAGTTGGGCTAAAGAGTTCTACGGACTATCTGCATCGAAGAGCCTTAAAATACAGGTTTTCCCGTCGGAATGATTGATTACTCGTTTTCCTTCAAGCTGAAGTTCAACATCCTTTGCAGCTGTGGATAGAGGGTTGCAGATAATCGGTGTGGATAATAGCTTAAACCATTTTAAATAGTTCAAGCTATTATTTGCGTAACAAAGATTTTAATTTACCTTGATTTTTAAAACAAATAGTAAACGAACTGCTCAAGGCCAGTTTTACGAATGAACGACAGCCGAATTCACCGGAACATGAAGATTGCTCGGGATGACAGAGCCGTAAAACTCGGTTGCAGTGACTGATGTGGCCTTCACCACTCAACGCACTCGAAGGGCATTCGATGTAATTTCTGAGGCTTGCTTCACTAGCGATCTCCGAGCTAGCCACGTTGGACCTCCGCATGTTCGCAGTCGCTCTGACACCGTAATGATTAGTATGAATTATAACAGTTATGCCACTTTGGCTATACTTTTTATCAATCCTGTTTTGTTCTGTTTTGTTCTTGAACTCGAACTTTATATACTATACGAGTGTTAGCTGTGTTTGAATTTTATTACCATTCGTAAGCTTGCAATCTAAATGAGCGTGAAAACCTTCAAAACTCGGACTGTCCATTTCGTTTTCTCTTGGAGGGTTTTCGTCTCTGCTCATGTTATAATAAGGTCAATTACGGCGCCTGTCATGTTTATAAACTTTTGTTTGGTTGTTCTGTTGCTACTTGCCGGCTCGCTTGTTTCGAAATTTCACTTTCAATTAACAAAAAAAAGCTAGAGAAAAGTCCCCGGAAAAGTAGGACATAGTCCATTTGGCAGATGGCGTGACAGCTTTAGCTCAGCTCTATGATCTATACTCTCATAGAGCACGCTCTTTCGACTACAGCACGCGTTATATCCGAACTTTATTGTAAAAGAAAATGGGATACTTGTTCGCACAAATTTCCAGTCATAAAACTGATAAAGCGGACGTTTTGTGGCTATTTCAAGGCTGTGATGTTGTTATGGTAACCTAGTGATCACGATGGAAATGTCATCCCTAATCTCTTCTTCTCTGTAAAGAATTCATTAGGGGTGGGGGTGGGAGGAGATGTGATTTCTGTGACAAAACACATACACACAACAGATAAGCTGTGGGTATTTTAGTTCATTTAAGTATATTGAACGTATTACTGTTGTTGGGATCAACTTTTATCAATAAAAGTGAAAGCTATTTACTCAATCAAAATTAGAAAGAAACCCGACTTTAGTATCATGTTCAATGCACAGCTTTATTGTTAATTTCACTCTTAAAGGGGCTGATAAACACTCATTTATCAAAGATATCAATTTTGACTATCCCTAAATCAGAACCTTTTTCGTCGAAAATGCTATCACTACACCAATGCATAAACAGCTAAGACTCTTAGTCATTACGCTTTTCGTCTTTTGTCTTTATTTTTACACCCACTTGTACAAAGCGCTGTTTATGTTATACTTCTGATTGCGGTAGTTTGCCACTGCCAGATAAGTGTTACCTTTGTACTCAAATGATGTCATATCCCGAGCTCCATGAGTAGAAATCTCTTGATACTCGACGAACTTTGCTCCAAAGGCCTGGTACACAGCTGACTGTGCGTTGTATTTCTGGCTGCTGTCGTAGTAATTGGCCAAACCCAAGAAGGTATAACCGCTGATCTCGAATGGACACCATGCAAAGGCTCCACGAGTAGGAATGGACTGGAAAAGAACGAACCTAGTACCATCCCATTTATAAATAAACGAGTCAATGTTGTAGGAACTTCCAGAGTAGAAGCAGGCAAAAGCGAGGAATGTGTGACCATTGATATTAACAGACTTCACGTCAAATGCCCCGTAAGTTTGAAGAGACTGTAGTTTGACGAAGTGTCCTCCTGACCATTTGAAGACAGTGGACTGAACAGAATACTTCTGTTGAGATGTGAAAAGGTTGGCGAAAGCGATGTAAGTGACATTGTTTATTTCAAATGCCGTACATCCCATGGCACCTTCAGTTGCTATCTCCTGGAACTTGTTGAACTTGACGCCATTCCATTTGTAGATGACTGATTTTGTTGAGTGGGTACTTCCATCGTTATAGTTTGCCACTGTGAGATATTTTTCGCTATTTAATGTGAAGAACTTGAAGTGTGCAGCTCCTTTTGTTGGTAATTTCTGAAATACCACAAACCGCTGTCCATTCCACTGGAATACTACAGAGTCAAGTTGGTACGTATCATCATAATGATGAGCCACAGCAAGGAAATGTTTATCAGCGATAGAAAAGTACTCAACGCCATATGCACCTCTAGTTTGCAGGGTCTGGTACAATGTGAACTTTTCAGTCGGTTCATCCATCTTGTAAACCACGGAGCTTGTCTTGTATTTGTGAATATCTCCATAATAGTTCCCAAAGGTGAGGAACAGACTTCCATTAATAGTTAATGTTGAACAGCTGTAGCTCCCCTGGTTGGCAAGTCTTGAACTTTCTCGAAGAAGTGGAAACCAGTGGAACATTCTTTGATAAAAACAAAACAGAGTTTACCTCTCATCCTTTGTTTCTGGTTATTAGCCTATTAAAGATGGTTCAAAATAGTTTCGTTATTTTTAATCACCGTATTTTAACGTACCGAAGCTTTAACAGTTTGCTCTTTTCGAAATTTCCATACGACATGCGAAACTGTTATTTAACAATTCTTTCTATAAAATATAAAAAAATATAATGTTACCAAAGCAACACTCCATCCTCTCAAACAACGTCCTTTTTTTCACTTTATTTTCCTGTAACTCGAAAACAAACCCTACTTCTCAATCACTGTATTGCAATCAGCATATAAAAATATGTAAGTTATACTGATGGACAATGGAACAACTTGACTCAGCTGGTTTCTTTTTATTTGTTTTGTTCTTTTGTTTTTTGCTTCACTTAGGAACTTAATAAGTTCATTTCTGCGAATGGAGGGAATGGTCAATCGTAACATAACTGACACACAACGGGCGTCTAATTTGTCAAAAAATCTATCCTCTATTGTACTCCATAAAACTGGAGCATCAAACAAGATTTTCCCTTAGAAGTTTGATGAAAATCTTACATTGGAACGAAAACCACTTACAAAGTATATGTCCACTCGAGACTTATGGCAATTTTATTTCTTGTCCGCGATTTCAGCTTTCATTTGATTATTCTTACGTTTTGGAAGGCGTTTTTGGCACTTTTTGTTAATTATAACAAGAATTCCCTGAAAGCTTAAATTTAAGCAGAGGCAATATAAAAAAAATTGATTAAACAAAACTAGTGTCTTACGAATAAAAAAATAGCTCGTGTCTGATGTATACGGCTCGATGTTGCCGTCTTTGATTTTGCTGCTATTGTTGTAGTGCTATTTTATAAAAGAAATTAAATCTAAGTCCTCTCAATGGTGAGAAATTTTTTCATCATAAAATTTTTCTCGATAGTTTCCACGATGTGCAGATAAAACTTATCTGGTAAGGCTACTGTGAATTATTTTGAGGTGTTTATCATCTTTTGTAGCATGACGGCAAGAACTGAAAAAAAGGTATATTCCGATCTACTGGGCATAATTCGCTGATTCAAACGGTAAGATACTCCCCGTTTAAAGAAAAAAGTTTTCCTGTAGGTTTTCATGTTGCGCCGATCACCTTATATGATATAGGAAAAACTGTGTTTTTTTTACGCGCCATCGTAAAATTATTGTAAGATGTTCCTCGTCTTCTTTAGTACTTCAGAACAAAGAGTGAGTAGCACAGTTAACATCGAGTAAAAATTGGATCAAGATCGGAATTCTATTGTAACCATCACTCACTCACTCACTCACTCATTTTGACGACATAAGTAGCCTCGCCTCCTGTAGGAGACATAAGCCACAAAAACAAGTAAAAAAATGACTCCTACCGACTTTACAACACCCTCTTTTCCCGGAGGATGACGAGGAGCTCTGCAAAGAATCATTAGAAATCTCGTTATCATTATCGTTTCGTGCTTGTGCATGTCAAAGAACTTCACACAATAACTGCCAAAAAAAAAAAAAAAAATAATAATAATAATAAAAGAAAAAGTAGCAAATTACTTGTAATATTTCATTGCTTTAGAAGTACACAAGGACTGTTGCACTTTTAAGTGATGATTTCTATCCATTATATCTTTCCATACCAGGTCATCACATGTTCCCGGCATTCCTTTCTGTCCTTTTAGTCCTAGTGATCCTTTCTGTCCAACAGATCCTTTCTCGCCCTCGATGAAAAAGCAAACTTATAAAAAAAGGTTGTATAGCACGAACTTTTTCGCTATCCATCATGAAATAACTTTGAGAAGTTACTGGTTTTCAAGTTTATCTTTAAGCTGTGTTCGACGAAAGAATTTTTCATACAAACCTCATGAAACTTTCTTTAGAAGATCCCCCCCCCCCAACTTAATAATAACCAATCCCTGCCAGGTCCTACCAGGGTTCCTAGTCCTACTATTATCGCATTTGTCTGTCAGTTTTTAGTTGAACCGAATGATTCATAGAACTAACTTCGGAACTACAATTACCATTCTTTCCCTTTATTCCTGGCTCACCCCCATCCCCCTTTAACGTATGAGCGCAACATACCTCATTGTATTCATTGACAGTCAGATAATTCTCCAATAGGGAAAAATAAGAAGCAAGAGAACTCCTACAGTTCGGAATAATGAAATGTTCTCCTTTCCCAAAACCTTATTCTATAACTGCATCTTTTAAGGCTGGGATACCTGCAGTAATCACGATTTAAATATTCCAACCAAATAATTGGTAACAGTTAAAGTGTCAATCAGATCAAAGCCAAAGAAAAATTAGCCAGAAAACCACTTAATTTTTTACCAACCTTGATGCCGGCATTTCCATTCACACCATGCATGCCTGGTTCACCTTTCTCTCCCTGGATGAGTTAAAAGGAATGGAAGTAATCTACCGGTAACCATGACAACAGTTTGATTGATGTACTTATAAGTTCACCACTAACAAGAAGAGATACGTCATATGCAGTTCAATGCATTTGTATTCTCAAGTCCGTTTCAATGTCATTTTTTTAACGACGGTTACATTATCGTTTTAAAAATACATAACCTTTGCTCTAACTGTCCCATCGCGTCCATCTCGTCCTATGTTGAAAATGTTGGCGATCAGTGCAAATTGTGAAACACAGATAAACGAAAACAGCAACAAAAGTACAAAGTCACGGTACACCTTCGTTTCCCAAAAAAATTTATTATTCACAGTAATTTTCAGTCATTCAAACTCGTTGTAATGTTAACTTGACACAAGTAATCATCATATTACTAGGTTCTCGTTTTTCTCTCTCCCTAAATTCCCATAAAGGACCAATCAACGGGTCAGCCCGAGGATTTTGGTAGCGTCTCGCAAAAATTTACCTGGTCCTCTCCAAAGGCTCTGTAATATTCTTATGATTCCCCACCCCTACCCCCCCTTGGCAGCTAATTGACAGTCATTTTGCTATAGTCCCCCCTTGATATTATGTTGTCGACGACTGATCCCCCATCAGTACCCCCTTAAAAACATGTGATCTTCCTAAAGTCCTCCACCAACCCTCCCCCCCCCTCCACAGCAAATCCATAATAAGCCGTCCCTACCACTTGTGTTTATGAAGGAATTCACGTTAAAAAATTTTCCATCTAAATCAAAAATTCACTTTGAATAAATAACTACATCACCGTTTATTCCATCGCGTCCATCTTTTCCTGCATAGAAAGAAATCAATTTTCTTATGTTAGAAAGGTAAGTAAACAGTTTATTTTTATGATGAAAAGTTGTTCGTTTTTAAGTCAATAACTTGATGAATGAACCATAAAGTAACTTTTGCACACTCACCGTTTTGTCCATCTTTTCCGTCTTTTCCTGTCCAGAAATTAACAGAGACCAAACATCAATGAAGAAACTCGAATTTCTTTCTTTCTCGCCCATATCAGCATAAATATATGCGTGTTACAAGTATTATTACTATTATTGTTATTCTAAGGTAATTATAAATGTGCTGAACAAGGTGGGATTTTTGTTTGAAGTTTTACCCACCATCTTTACAGTATCCAACTTGTGAAACACAGCAGTTTGATTTTGTCGCTGTTCCATGACTCTGTTGAAGGTTTGAAAGTAAAAACGAAAAGTGTACACATGAATTATGAAATCAAGGGGTTGTTTGGGAAATCACAAGCACGAACAAAACACAAGCCTTCTCACTTTCACTCGAATTCCGATTCGAATATAATTACTTCACGCCTAGTTATCAATTTGGTTACCTGATTTGCAGATTTGTTCTGTGATTTTGCGAAGGAACTCAGCAAAAAGGCAAGAGCCAACACAAAGAATAAGCGAAACATTTTCACTCTCAGCGCCCTCCGATATGAAATGGTAGACGAATCTGTCAGCATAGAAGGAACACTTTCCAACTCTGTTTATTTTGTCCCACAACAGGAAAATTCAGGATGTTCAAGGGCTTGTGTTATGAATAGTGTTTACAATGCACAATGAGAATTTGTAGTTTATGGATTATGATATGCTAACTGACCGACTACGATGAACTTCCTATATCTCCTTAAAACATCGTTATCTTGTACAGTGATCTGGTATGGAGAATTTAGGCCCTTATCAGGGAAGATTAGTTGTTTAGTCTTTATGTAAATTCTCACTAATTACTGTAGTAAAAAAAAAGGTTTGGATCTGTGAAAGGAAAGGTGTCCATAGCAAGAACTCAGCTCGCTTGACATCATTTTGAGAAATTTTTCAAATATGTGATGATTGATATGAATACTGTGAGTTGAAAGAAAATTCTCGTTTGCTCTTACTAAGCAGGAAACACGCAAATTCATTCAATATTAAATACGGTTGGATAAAAATGCAATAAACTTAAGATAGTTAATTGCCGTGGATTTAGGATATAAGTGTGCAACTTTTTGTTAAAACTATTCTCGTGGAGCTTAATGGATTGTAACGACGCCATTCACCGTAAGCGAGTTTGAAAGGAAAAAAATCGGTTGACTGCAACCGTAGATCAGAACAATGTACCGCAATCACAAAAGCGACTGACGAGACTTAGTTCACCCAATTATCATTTTAACTAGCAAAATATTATCAGTGGCATAATTCCAAAGTTTCCTTTGAATAAGATAATTTTTCCTAATAGTACATCCCTTGAATCTTTCGGTTCTATAATCAAGCAGTATCTATGGGCCAACCATTTTTTTAAAGGCTTTTCTTTATTTCTTGGCTCCTTAGCCTGGTTTATGAAAAAGATGACGTGTAACTCAATATAAAGTAACCTTGTTGATATTGAATGCTATATGCGTATTATCCTGTGTTTAAAATATGTTTATCCTGCGAATAAAAATATTAAAGGAGGGGATTCACGAGATAGCTTTGCCACGATAAAATGACCCTGCTTACCAGAGTAACCAGGTGTAATGAAAATAGCAATTATTTTGAAAATATAATATTCTCCTTCTTTTTTTACGAGGCAGAAGACATAACTCTAAGAACAACATTAAAGAGTAGGGGGTCACTAAGGAAAAATTATGACTTATCGCTGAAAGGGTTACTTCTTAATAAAGTTGACAAGTGAAAGTAATTACCTTGGTCCGTTGGAAATTTGATCAAGTTGAGCAAACGGCTCACACACATTGTTCTATTACGTGCCCCGCTGTGTTTATCCCGTGTAGCGCTATGCTGACGTGTCCAGATGATCAAAAATAGAAATTGCTTATTGTTTGTTAACTGTCAATTTACTCGGTTCACTAAAACAGCCTTTGCTTCACTTCAAGAACCATGCTCTACATTCAACATGTAATGAAAATGCTGAATATATTAGGATTAGAGAATAACGAAAACAACCGCGTTCTGTGGCAAATACAGTGTAGTTCCATGATTTACTTAAGTTGTACAGAAAATGATATTAAGGTCAACTTCACTTCCATGATAGAGGGTCTCAATGGGGTGATGACTTTTACGGCTATCGGTTAAAATTTTGGCCAATTTCCGGCTAACGGTTAACACCTTTCCATTGTTTCCACCAGAAATATTTTTTTACGGTTAACTTTTTTTACGACTAACGGTTAAAATTTGTCAATTTTTACGTCTAACGGCTAAATATTTTGGCCGTTTTACGGCTAACGGTTAACCCCATTGAGACCCTCATGATAGCCTTTATTTTTTACTCTGACTCTCGATGAAGCTATATCTTCACTTTCTTATGTTTAGAAATTCTTAGACTGGCGATCGGCATTTCATGTAATCGGTTAAGTTTCACATTAGTGGACGAACCGAAGAGGAAGGACCTTAAAACACGATGTCAATTTGTTTAATTTTTCGAGAGTTCGATTAAAATTCTAAGAATTTGGTTTCGCAATCGATAGGCGTACTTATTCATGAAAGTGATATGTAGAAATAAACACCTTGTTCCCGTGTCGCGCTATGCTGACGTGTCCAGATGACCATCATAAAAAATTGCTTATTGTTTACCAATTGTTCATTCACTCGGTTTAATAAAACTGTTCTTCAGGATCATGACAGAATCGATCTTTTCGCTAAGTTCTAACGAAAGTGAGGACATATTGCAAAATTTTCAAATAATTGCCCACTTTGCTTGAATAACCATTCTCTTGTTAACTGCCCGATACTTTTTACCCATCAACCGCTTCAACACTGTGGCAATTTTTAAATAAGTTTTCAAATATCTACAGTCAAGAAACCTATTTTGTTATCATTTTAAGAGATGCACTTCTCTGATCTTAAGTGTGGTAGTCTATTTTGAGAGTAAACTAGTCTGTGATCAGGCTAATGCGTTGTGATCAAACACATGAAATCAACATGCAAATTTGGTTTTTGCAGAAAATACTTTTTTTTTAAAATTTTCTTTTATAATTTCGTCACCATAAATATATTTATCTGATTTCACTATATCCTCAAGAACAGGCCTTTTTTTGATGAGTGAGAGCTCAGTGTTTCTTCCTGAAGAATTTGACCGTCGCTTCACATTTATTAGACAAAGGAAGGTTACGCAATCACGGCGACTTTGTTGGCGGAGAACCAATTTGCGTGACAAACTATTCTATTTTGCATTGTGTGTATCTCTGTTGGATACTTAAAATAACACAAGTAAACATTGCTTGGTTTACTTCATATCCTAGATAGACCAGCGGCGGGTAATCAAGAGACTGAAAACAGCTGAGTTGACAATTTGTTCACAATTAGCACTAAAATTTATGAGTTGTGTCTTTTTGATGCGAGCGAGATGAAGAAGAGGTATGAATGTCTGTTATATGTAAGTTTCTAAATCAATAAATCAACCATTTTTGTTTTAAAATGTCTGTTTAAAAGACAAAGATAAGCGTCTAAATAAGTGAATGAGGCTTTTAAAACGGAAAACTGAATTTCAACGGAAAAAATAAAACGTGAATGGAGATTTCTAACCACTGAGTAAACAAGAAATGAACTTTCCACAATTACAAATACTTTTGACTATGAATTTATAATGATGTTTATATCATCATCGATAACTTACACTCGATCTATTCGTTTCCTGGAGGAATAACTTGGAGAAACAATTTGGAAAATATAAAACATGAATTACAATTGGAAAAAAGAGCATTCAAAACATAAAATTATTGTTCTATTACAGGAGTTTTGCTGCTTCAGCTCGAGAGCAGGGCAGCTTGAGAACATAACAATGCCTTTTAAATGTGTAAGGAAGCATTAAACATTTAGAGCCATGTTGTTTTACTAGAAGCCTCGTCGCTTTAGCACACAAGAAAAGCCATCGGCTACGAAAGATAGCCTGCTTCTGTTGTTTCTTCAGATGTAAAGTATTTATGCTCCCCGTTGCTCATGCACAGTTAGTAGGTTGTATCGTCTGCATAATATACATCACATCTCTAACATTTAAATTCGTTTTTTTGGTTCACTATAGAGGGCTTTGTTTTCGTAATTTACTTATGACGACTGGTTACTATAGTCGGGTTAAGCTTTCCAGCTAAGGGTACGAGGCTACTTTAGTAAGAAGTTGGCAATTTTCTAGTCTTTGAGGGGTGAAGTGATTTCTACAGTGCTCTCCTTCCACATGCTTAGGGGAAGTGAAAGGCGGGGATAGTAAGCTCTCTCTATATGCTCGGTAGACATCTAGTCCTGTTGTCCTTTTAGGAATTTCAATTTCTAGTACTTCATCTCAAAATTGATCATTTATACCAATTGTTAACATCACATAATATATTAAGGAACGATGTTTTTTCGTCTTTTCAACTTCTGAGTCCCCCAGAGGAATCGAACCTCAGACCTTCGGATTCCGCGCCCCGATGCTCTACCACTGAGCCACAGAGATAATATAATATATTGTTGAACACTCTTTCCATTGCGATAGATGAATGAATTAGTAGCAACAGGAAGTTCAGAAAATCAGACAATAGAATCTCCGAATTATTTTGATTAGAGATTCATGGGTTTACTTTAGTGTGCGGGTGACTCCTTAAAAGAGAATGGGATACTTTTTCGCACAAATTTTCCAACCTTTAAACTGATAAAGCGGATGTTTTGTGGCTGTTTCAAGGCTGTGATATTGTTATGGTAACCTAGTGTCCTGAAAATGATCACGATTTGTTGAGCCGAAAATAATTGGGCACGTTTACATTGTATTGAAGAAACAGACAGAAAAGTTCGATCATGTCGAACGCTCAGAGCCATCAATGAGTTTAATTCTGAAATTAAAGAAATCTGTGCGTGCTCCTTGAGGTATTCAACAGTTCATCTTTAGTCAATTGAACTTTTTTCTTATATAAAACCTCCATTTTGTTAACTCACATAGCTTCAAAAACAAGCAAACACTCTTGTTTTAATTTGATTTTCTTTTTTAATATCTGCTTTCGAAAAGGTAAACTGTTTTGAAAAATTTCCCAAAACTCCCTCATTCCTTACTCTGGACTTCGCCTTCTTCCTCACTTTGCTCAATCTAAAAAGTTGTGTCACCAAGCTCACTTCTAAGGCTGTTAAAAACAAAAAGAAAGAATGTTTCTGGCAAATGATGTAAGCTGTAACCCTTGTTGACGAGAAGATCATAAATTACATAACAATTGTAATATTGCATTTATGCTCTTGTCAAAGTCAACAGAGCGTTGAGAGCAAACAATGTTATGAACTGTCTGAACTTTTAAATTTCGAATACATTTTTCTTACTTAGGATCCAAAAGAAATCAGAATTAAATGGAAATATCACCCCTGATCTCTTGGTCTCTGTAAAGAATTCATTAGGGAGTGGGGGTGGGAGGAGATGTGATTTCTGTGACAAAACACACACAGAACAGATGAGCTGAGGGTACTTTAGTCCATTTTAGAATATTGAACGTATCTGATAGTACTGTTCTTGGGATCAACTTTTTATCAATAAAAGTGAAAGGTATTTACTCACACAAAATTAGAAAGAAACCAGACTTTAGTATCATGTTCAATGCACAGCTTTATTGTAGATTTCACTCTTAAAGTGGCTGATAAACACTCATTTATCAAAGATGTCAATTTTGACTATCCCTAAATCTGAACCTTTTTCTGCGATTTTTAATCAAATACTATCGCTATACCAATGCATAAAGCAGCTAAGACTCTTGTTCATTACGCTTTTCGTCTTGTGTCCCTATTTCTACATCCGCTTGTACGAAATGCTGTTTATGTTGTACTTCTGATTGTAGTGGTTTGCCACTGCCAGGTAAGTGTGACCTTTGTACTCAAATGATGTCATATCATGAGCTCCATGATTGGAAATCTCTTGGTACTGAACTTTGCTCCAGCGGCCCGGAACACAACTGACTGTGTGTTGTATTTCTGGCTGCTGTCGTAATAATTGGCCATACCAAAGAAGGTATGACAGCTGATCTCGAAAGGATGGCAAGCGAGGGCTCCACGAGTAGCAATAGACTGGAAAAGAACGAACTTGGTAACATCCCATTAATAAATAAACGAGTCAGTGTTGCAGGAGCTTCCAGAGTAGTAGCAGGCAAAAGAGAGGAATGTGTGACCATTAATATTAACTGACTTGACGTCAAATGTCCCGTAAGTTTGAAGAGACTGTAGATTGACAAAGTGTCCCCTGTCTTTTTGAAGACTGTGGACTGAACAGAATACTTCTGTTGAGAGTTGTAATGGTTGGCGAAAGCGATGTAAGTGACATTGTTAATTTCAAATGCCGTTCATCCCATGGCACCTTCAGTTGCTATCTCCTGGAACTTGCTGAACTTGACGCCATTCCATTTGTAGATGACTGATTTTGTTGAGTAGGTACTTCCATCATGATAGTTTGTCACTGTGAGATATTTTTCGCTATTCAATTTGAAGAACTTGAAGTGTGCAGCTCCTTTTGTTGGTAATTTCTGAAATACCACAAACCGCTGTCCATTCCACTGGAAGACTACAGGGTCAAGTTGGTGTGTACCATCCCAAAATTGAGCCACAGCAAGGAAATGTCTATCAGTGATAGAAAAGTACTCAACGCCACATGCACCTCTAGTTTGCAGGGTCTGGTAAAATGTGAATTTTTCAGTCGGTTCATCCATCTTGTAAACCACGGAGCTTGTCTTGTATTTGTAAATATCTCCATGATGGAGAAATGTTGAACAGCTGCAGCTCCTCTGGTTGGCAAGTCTTGAACTTTCTCGAAGAAGTGGAAACCAGTGGAGCATTCTTGGATAAAAACAAAACAAATGGTTAACAGAGTTTACCTCTCATCCGCTGTTTCTGGTTACTCGCCTTTTAAAGGTGGTTCAAAATAGTTTCGTTATTTTTAATCGTTGTATTTTAATGTACCGAAGCTTTAACAGTTTCTTTCCATACGACATGCGAAACTGTTATTTAACAATTCTTTCTATAAAAACTAATGTTACCAAAGCAACACTCCATCCTCTGAAACAACGTCCTTTCTCACTTTATTTTACTGTAACTCGAAAACAAGCCCGGTGACCCTAATTCTCAGTCACCGTATTGCAATCAGCATATACAAATATGCAAGTTATATAGAGAAGGGAACAACTTGATTCAACAGGTTTCTCTTTTTTGTTTTGTTTTTTTCTTCGCTTAAGAACTTAATAAGTTCATTTCTGCGAATGGAGGGAATGGCCAATCTTAACATAACTGACACACAACGGGCGTCTAATTTGTCAAAAATCTATCTTCTGTTGTGCCGTTAAACTATATAAAACGGGAGCATCAAAAGTTTGTTGAAAATCTTACTTACATTGGAACGAAAACCACTCGCAAAGTATATGTCCAGTCGAGACTTATGGCAATTCTGTTTCTTGTCCGCGATTTCAGCTTTCATTTGATTGTTCTCACGTTTTGGAGGGCGACAACAAGGCATTCTGCGTTAAGGGATATTCTGCCATTCGTCCATTCCTCCAATTGCCGTTCTGCCAATCTACCGTTCTATCATTCCGTTGAATAGGGTCACCCTGTTAAACTCAAGGTATGGTATTTCGGACCTTGCTTACTTCGCAAATTTAGCGGTTCATTGGCGCATTAGTCGCTGATTGAAATGGTAAAATGCTCTGTCTTCGAATAAGTAAAATTTTTCTCGATAGTTTCCACGATGTGCAGATAAAACCCATTTAGATATTGGATTTAAGGAAATACCTTGTTTTTAATAACGGTAAGGCCACTGTGAATTATTTTGAGGTGTTTATCATCTTTTGTAGTGTGACGGCAAGAACTGAAAAAAAAGATATATTCCGATCTACTGGGCATAATTCGCGGATTCAAACGGTAAGGTACTCCCCGTTCAAAGAAAAAAGTTTTCCTGTAGGTTTTCATGTTGCGCCGATCCCCCTATGAGATATAGGAAAACTTTGGTTTTTTTTACGCGCCATCGTGAAATTATTGTGAGATGTTTCTCGTCTTCTATAGTACTCCAGAACAAAGAATGAGTAGTACAGTGAACATCAAGCAAAAACTGGATCAAGATCGGCCGGGAATTCTATTGTAACCATTACTCACTGACTCACTGACTCACTCACTCATTTTGACAACATAAGCAGCCTCGCCTCCTGTAGGAGACAGCCACAAAACAAGTAAAAAATGACTCCTACCGACTTTATAACATCCTCTTTTCCCGGAGGATGACGAGGAGCTCTGCAAAGAATCATCAGAAATCTCGTCATCATTATCGTTTCGTGCTTGTGCATGTCAAAGAACTTCACACAATAACTGCCAAAAAATAATAATAAAAGAAAAAGTAGCAAATTAAAAAATGATGGTTGATAAGAATACTGTGAGTTGAAAGAAAATTCTCGTTTGCTTTAACTGAGTAGGAAACACGCAAATTCATTCAATATAAAACACGGTTGAATGAAAATAGAATAAAATAAAGATAGCAAATTGCCGTGGCTTCAGAAAATAAGTGTGCACCTTTTTGTTAAAACCATTCTCGTGTAGCTTAATGTGATTGTGACGTCGCCATTTACTGTACGCAAGTTTGAAATGAAAAAAAGCAGTTGACTGCAAGCGTAGATCAAAACACTGTACCGCAATTATTCAAAAGCGACTGACGAGACTTAGTTTACCTAATTATCATTTTAACTAGCGAAATGTCATCAGTCGCATAATTCCAAAGTTTCCTTTCATCAGAACTATTTTTCCCAATAATGCATCGCTTGAATCTTTCGGTTCTAGAATCAAGCAGTATTTATGGGACAAACCTTTTTTTTAAAGGGTTTTCTTTTTATTTCTTGCATCCTTAGCCTGGCTTATCGAAAAGATGACGTGTAATTCAATATGAAGTAACCTTGTTGATATTGAATGCTAAATGGGAATATAAATATGGGGGGGACGAGACAGCTCTACCACGTCATTACTGTCAAATTTGATCATGATTGTGTTATCAGGAATCCAAAACACCAAATTTGTCCCCCAGTAGTTAGAGCTTGCGCAAAAGAAGTCACTTTCCCCATAGCACACATGAAAACACAGGAAGCTTTCAATGAAGTCTTCATGTTAGCACTATCCAAGGGACAATTGTTTGGTATGGCTTAATGTTATTTCAAACTTTTTCGGTAAAAATGGTTTTCCGTCAGGGACTATTGCAAAGAGATTTACAGGACAAGCAGATGTTGCTTTCACAACCGTTATGACATTGTTATAGAGTTTTAAAAAAACCATAAGTTAAGGTTAAAGTTATTTCTGAGGCATACAAATGCAGCTGTCTTTGAGATTCCTTATCATATATGTTCATATGACCTTATGTCTGTTAGAACAATCTTCTTCAGTGCATTTCTTTCATTAACAAGTGTAGCCTCATGTTATGGTTATTGATAACACAAATACAGTTTTCATACAGTCTTGGAGATCAATTTGATCAATAAAATAATGACATTAATGTTATATTTTGATCAAGAAGTCTTCTTGAGTCACTTTTCTTTAATAATAATTTTTTTTTAAACCAAGCATTAACCTTCAATAATTGACTCAATGGCTGATATACTGTACAGTAATGTTAACACCAACTGACAGTTGGTGTAGTTTTGGGACAAAAAACAGGGCATAACTTGCTTAAAATGAGAAATGTCTAACAATATCTCGAGTGATCTTAGACTGAGTTTTAGCAATTATGTACCATTTACAGCTATGGTTAAAAGTTTGCGATAAAGTCTCACCACCTCTTGCCAGTCGTTTGGAAGGCTGATTCCAAGGGCATTTCTAGCATAATCAAAGTAGTCTTGATATTCATTAACACTTCTCTGAATTATGTGCTGAGATACACAGTCAATTTGTGACTGAGGAACATTTAGCAGAAGGTTTCCAACAGCCCCATGAAACTTAGGCAAATAGAATAGTGAATCAGTCTACCAGGGACAGTTTTGTGCCTACTTTTCCTAATTCTGTGGCTGTTCCGATGTTCTTTAACAATGTCAGGGTCGTTCTGGATAACTGGTGCAAAACAGTTCCACAAACATTCCATACTTAATTCAGAAGAGTACAAGACACCCTCAAGTTCCAAATCTTGGAAAAAATTGCGCCACCATGTTGACCTGCTCCATAAATAAAATGACCACCACCCTTCAATTCTTCGGTTTCTAGGTGATGAGATATAACTGTCGGCATCAGCATCATCATGAAAATAAGACTGCATTAATTCTGCCAATCCACTTTCAGTGCCAAGATCTGTAATTAGCTGTCTAGGGCACCCTTTCAATTCCTTTACAGTACTTAAGAAGTAAGTGGCAGTGTTGTCTGGTGAGTTGTTGGACCTGGTAACCTCAAGCCATAATATTTTCCAGCTGAAGCCATCTATGGCCCCATGTATGGGAAACCCAAAGGGCTTCAGTTTGTCATAACCATCTATGTGCCAAGTATCATTTCGCCCAAGACAGTGATAAGTCCTCCTCTTCAACCGGTGAGCTTTCCTCAACTGGCAACCTTCTGGATCTACCTCTTTTAATATATCTTGAACTATTATCTAGGAACAGTCAAACCTTCCATCTTTAAGGTGTGCCATCATGTATCCCCCACATGATCCATGTCCACGGATAATCTCAAGGGTATGTTTTCCAACTGCCTCTAAAACCTCACCAGAATCATCCGCCTTAAAAAACTACTTCTCTGAAGTCCATATGTCTTTAATTGCCTTAAAAGTGTTACTTATTTCATGGTCATGACGCTTAGCGAGGAAATGAATGATTTCTTCATAGCTAAAACCGCGTTGAAAATAATATTTGATAACGGTCTCTTCATCAATTTCCACCTCAACCTCATTGCTAGAGTCTTTATCCTCACCTGAATCTTCTAGCCTTAGGTCCTTAAAAATATAGGGATGAACATAGGCCACTTTTTCTACCTCTTAACATGTACAATACAACACAATACAATACAAAGAGAATCAAAGAGAAAAAAATATAATCGACTGACTGTTTGCAAGCGTACAGTATTTTCCACCTTTTGAAAAATCCTTAATTTATCCAGGCACATACATTATGAATGCTTTCTTTTTACACACAGGCTACATGCACAATCTTATTCCAGACACGTGCTAATCAGCTAATCCGTGGCAGTGTCTTCTCATGCCTATCGTTATTTGGAACAAAAAGAAATTCAAATACGAACAATTTAAATTAAGAAACGTACCTTTACCACAGCTTTTGCAAAAGTTTGTATCTTCGTCAACTTCCGAACCACGCGCGGAGCAAAACATCGTGAGCTCGAAAAATGGCGGTTTTTTGAGCGAGCGGTGTGTTACTGTTACACGACATACTATTTCAGATGCCAATAACAACCGCTGACCAATCGCTGACCAACCGCTGACCAACCGCTGACCAACCGCTGACCAACCGCTGACCAACCGCTGACCAACCACTGACCAACTCGTTTTCTTTATTTTGCCGTGAGTTAATTTTGTTTTGCTGTAAGTGAATTTTGTTTTGCCGTGACAGTTGTGGGCCACCGTCGGACAAGAAATACATTTTTAAGCAAAAAACTCGATAAATAAACCATAAAAAAACCTAATATGACATGTAACTTGTGTTAGGGACGGAAGCACATGTAGCTCAGCAGAAATAGAGGTGAGAATACTTTTAATGATTGATTCATTACATCTACAGCACAAATGTTCAGCAATATTTCTCTCCTTTCCTTTCCTATACCTCGCTTCCTTTTCTTAGTTTGAATCTGAAAATGAATATTTATAGAGCATACAGTTGTATTTACTTTTTATACTTATCTATCTTGTTTGATAATTAGCCTCTACCAAAGAAATTTATCAGGTTGTCAACATATGTCACCATTGGATTGCTTCAGAAGTTCTTAGCTTGGAGACTACACTTGGGCTCTGAAAACATGGTGAAAAGAGTTCTGTATTAAGACATCAGAATTTTATTTGTTGCTAAACTGCTGGTATTTACTACTAGTACAGATAGCAATGAAGACAAACAGACTATAATTTTACTTGTACATGTAGTTGAAATGGTACTGAATATACTAACCTGGCAGGAATAAATGCAACTTTGTAATTTTGTCCTTTCAGGTGGGCATCCTTTATGATAAAACAGAAATGGGAAGGGATCTTACACTGAAGTACATCAGTGATAATCTCTGTCCTCCGAAGGTAATTGCTGGTCTGATTCTCCAATATCATCTATAAAACAAAGCGGGTCAAACAGCCATGCATAGGTACATGTACCTGACGATACCATCCACCTTACTGCAGTAATAAAGAGGGTCTGCTTGGGTACTTATAAGGGATTACCCCTCAATACCCATTCAATTGCTGATCTTGTTGCTAGTTCTTAAGTTTCTTATAACATTTTCCTGTTTTAGGAACACTCCGCGCCCTTGATTCTACATCACAGAGCTATGGATGTAAGCTTTACAAGATGACCAACTGTATGGTCAACTCAAAATTGATTGTTGTTTAATGTTTTAGTAACGTTTTAGTAATACATGTTTTGTAAAGCTTAATAACACTCCTGAGGAGTGACGATGTTCATACTTCATGAAATTTGAAAAAGTTTAAAAAGTCCGATGTGCTATATATAACATCTATAACAGCTTGTGTTTCGCTGTATCGATCACAGTTCAGTGTATTTAGTATTCATTCGTGATGAGTTCAGCCAGGTTCATAGGAAAACAAATGAGGAAGAAACTAAGCAAGATTATTGTACCTGCATTTATACTGGATTTAGGGAAAATCTCTTATTAAAAGAAAATTTGTCTTTTATATTTCGCTTAAGGTTGAGCGACAGTATAACAGCAATAACTGCCCGTGTTTAATATGAAAAATATGATAAGTAAACAAGTCATTTCCATGATTCCCATTTGTCCTCTCGCTTCCCCCGATTCCGCATTGGTGATGTAACCTAATTGGGTTTGCGTTTAGTTGATTGTGGTTTTAATTGAATCATTCCTAAGGTTACAGTATCTTTTTCATTGTTGAAGTCGCCCTGTGTACTGTCGAGCCTGATAAATGGCTAACGCTCGAAACGTCAGCTTTAAAAACTCTTTACGGTGGCCAATTTATATTATCAACTCAATTGATTAAACCAAATTATCATATGAGCTACTCGTAGAATAATCTTCTTAAACGAAAAGAACCAAAAGATAGATTAGCTAAGAGCACAGGAAGCGACCGAACAAGCCCCCTGACCCGTCCCTCTCAGCTAGTTACCTCTCGCATTACTGTAGTTTCTCTTCGCACTTAACGAGAGTTCGCCCAGTTTTCTTCCTATGATCCTCAAGCAACAACCCAAGTAGAAGCCTCCGGAATTTCTTATTCCTCTCAATACCTCAGGAGATAACGAGTTCTGTTTTTATCACAAACTGAGTACAGGTGTATCATGTAAGTTGTGCTTGGGTGCTACCCATGGTCTATCAGAGTACAATCGCACGACTTGCGTCATACAAAACATGACGACTTGGCTTTCTCCGATGAGCCATACATATGAATAATATATAATACACATTTTCCACTATATATACACTTTTCCGTGGCTTTGTTTTCTCATGAATCACAGGCGAGGTCGAATTGGGATAAGAACATGTTCGAGACACTTGCACTGTAATTCGTTCCAGGTGCTCTCGCTCACTGAAGACGGGCAGAGCGCGAAAAATTGAAGAATCGAGGTAGTCTTTACTTGAGAAGACAAAGGCTAGTTTTTGTAACCACATTCTTAACTGGAAAGATTCTCGGTAAAATAAAATTGAATCTAGCCACCATTTGACTCTTCCACACCCTATATTCCTTCCTGATATATTATTACCTCTGTTTTTTCTTCTCTCACCAAACTATTCTATTGTCTCATTCCAGAAGATCGTTTTAATATCGTTAGAACACTTCGACAAGAGGCAGACAAGTGAACAATTGACAGGTTGAAATACAAAAGCAGTTAATGACACACTTTTTTCACAAAGTGAATACTTACAACATTTGATAGATAATTCTCGCGGTTTTCTCGAACACCAATGCATAATTTATAGTGTTTCCACAATCGTTACACTTAAAGAAAATATCTCTACACTAAGAGAGAAGATAGTTTCTCTCCTTTACACATTTGAACGCAGATTCAAACTGAGGAACATCTAACTGTCAAATCAGACTCCGTTCTGTCCGCCAACGTTATCATTTCATTTCATCAAACAAGTCTATGATTTACACACGCCGCTTATTCCGTTGTCTAAATGACGCTCTTAACTTGTTAAAAAAATATATTTCCAAACAAGTAAACAAGTACTATTCCAAAAGACTTCACGACACGCCTATTTACAGCTTAAAACACTCGCTCATGAACATGCACAAGCATGATCATTTAAATAACAATTACCGATACATCGGTGAAAGCTTGCACTGACTGCTATAAGATAGGATACGTAGGCCTATATCGTCACTTCATACCTCTCTACCTCGTAATACCTCTAACTTAGTTCTCGTGCAAAATAAGACGCGGTAACAACATCATTGACACACTCGGCTGCACCTCGTGTGCCATTTCTTTTGTTCCTTGGGTAGTTTAATGTTATCAACTGAGTTGAAAACGTAAATTGGCCACCGTAAAGAGTTTAAAGGTTGACGTTTCGAGCATTAGCCCTTCGTCTGAGTGACTGGCGAAGGGCTAACGCTCGAAACGTCAGCCTTTAAACTCTTTACGGTGGCCGATTTACGTTTCCAACTCAGTTGATAACACTGAATTACCCCATTATACTCTCCAACCGACGCAGTACCACAATTTCTTAAGAAACTAACCCCTTTATTTCTTTGTCTTTTGTTCTTACCACACTTACTGCAGAGACGCAAGCAAATAGATCTATTTGTTAAAGACATAGCGAATAGCGAAACCAATCAGATTGCAACACCTATGTTATATCGCTAGTAGATTGCTACTGACAGGTATTATTCCCAGGTTCAGATTGAGACCTATGCTATATGGAACAACTCTGAATAAAACTATTAAGTTCTCACGCGAACTAAAAATAATTTCGCATGACCTTCATCATCGCCCGACATGCTTGTTCAAATGAGGAATTAGAAAAAAATCCTGGTTACGTTAACTGATTTACTGTGTAGCAAGCCTGTTTATACTTCAGTTTAACCCTTCGATGCCCTTCCACAGGTGTATGGGAAACTGTATCGGAGAAACGTTTCCAGTTTTTCACCTCCGGCAGTCAACCGTGTGCTTACTGTGTATAACAGTAGCATAATTCAAACACTTGTTTTATTGTGAGGCTTTTCAGGCGTAGGAGGCTTCAGGTGCGGAGTAGGTACAAACACCGCAGTTTTTGTTATATCTATCCACTCTTTCTTTGCGGGATTAGGCCGCTCTTCTCGCCACAAAGACTTGGATGACCGCGGAGTTCGCTCTTTTTGCGTTTCGCCTGGACCTCAGAAAGAAAGAATTTCCGAGATTTTGAACCAGATTTATTTAACGTTAAATCAAATTGGATATCAACATGAATTCAAGAAAAATCTGGAACGGAATTGGTCAAAAATCACACCAGCCTTTAGTTGTTTGTTCGAAATTTACAAAGGTGTTTTATCGACCAAGGGAAAACGTTAGTAATTATAGATCAAGAAAGTGTTGCTGTTGAATTCAATTCAAACTTAAAGCAGCAGCTGTAAAGTCAATTGTTCTTAGCACTCTCGACAACATATGAACGCTTCTTTAAGGTGCATCTAGACGTAGATCCTATGTTTCCACATGCAAAAACTAGAGCGGCGGAAGGTAGTAGAGGGTTTTTAGACTGGTTAATTAATAAATTTTCATTTCTTCCGGAGGCAGTTTCTGCAGCCAAGCAAGTGGCAACTTAACATTTATTATTTCACCTCTGGTTTCAAATTAAAACAATTAACTCGACTGAGGGTCATGGACATTCTCTTTTGATGTTTCGAACTCGCTGACCACCGTGCTTTCGTGTCCACGAAAATTAATTTACCTTGATTTTTAAAACAAATAGTAAACGAACTGCTCAAGGCCAGTTTTACGAATGAACGACAGCCGAATTCACCGGAACATGAAGATTGCTCGGGATGACAGAGCCGTAAAACTCGGTTGCAGTGACTGATGTGGCCTTCACCACTCAACGCACTCGAAGGGCATTCGATGTAATTTCTGAGGCTTGCTTCACTAGCGATCTCCGAGCTAGCCACGTTGGACCTCCGCATGTTCGCAGTCGCTCTGACACCGTAATGATTAGTATGAATTATAACAGTTATGCCACTTTGGCTATACTTTTTATCAATCCTGTTTTGTTCTGTTTTGTTCTTGAACTCGAACTTTATATACTATACGAGTGTTAGCTGTGTTTGAATTTTATTACCATTCGTAAGCTTGCAATCTAAATGAGCGTGAAAACCTTCAAAACTCGGACTGTCCATTTCGTTTTCTCTTGGAGGGTTTTCGTCTCTGCTCATGTTATAATAAGGTCAATTACGGCGCCTGTCATGTTTATAAACCTTTGTTTGGTTGTTCTGTTGCTACTTGCCGGCTCGCTTGTTTCGAAATTTCACTTTCAATTAACAAAAAAAAGCTAGAGAAAAGTCCCCGGAAAAGTAGGACATAGTCAATTTGGCAGATGGCGTGACAGCTTTAGCTCAGCTCTATGATCTATACTCTCATAGAGCACGCTCTTTCGACCACAGCGCGCGTTATATCCGAACTTTATTGTAAAAGAGAATGGGATACTTGTTCGCACAAATTTCCAGTCTTAAAACTGATAAAGCGGACGTTTTGTGGCTATTTCAAGGCTGTGGTGTTGTTATGGTAACCTAGTGATCACGATGGAAATATCATCCCTAATCTCTTCTTCTCTGTAAAGAATTCATTAGGGGGTGGGGGTGGGAGGAGATGTGATTTCTGTGACAAAACACATACACACAACGGATAAGCTGTGGGTATTTTAGTATAGAGAGTAGTGGCAGGCAAAAGCGAGGAATGTGTGACCTTTGATATTAACAGACTTCACGTCAAATGCCCCGTGAGTTTGAAGAGACTGTAGTTTGACAAAGTGTCCTCCTGACCATTTGAAGAGAGCGGACTGAACAGAATACTTCTGTTGAGAGTTGTAATAGTTGGCGAACGCGATGTAAGTGACATTGTTTATTTCAAATGCCGTACATCCCTTGGCAATTTCAGTTGCTATCTCCTGGAACTTGTTGAACTTGACGCCATTCCATTTGTAGATGACTGATTTTGTTGAGTGGGTACTTCCATCATGATAATTTGCCACTCTGAGATATATTTGTCTCTATTTAATGTGAAGAACTTGAAGTGTGCAGCTCCTTTTGTTGGTAATTTCTGAAATACCACAAACTGCTGTCCATTCCACTGAAAAAGTACAGAGGCAAGTTGGTTAGTACCATCCCAAAATTGAGCCACAGCAAGGAAATGTTTATCAGCGATAGAAAAGTACTCAACGCCATATGCACCTCTAGTTTGCAGGGTCTTGTACAAAGTGAGTTTTTCAGTCGATTCATCCATGTTATAAATCATGAAGCTTGTCTTGTATTTGTGGACATCTCCATAATAGTACCCAAACGTGAGGAACAGACTTCCATTAAAGGTAAAATGTTGAAAAGCTGCAGCTTCTCTGGTTGGCAAGTCTTGAACTTTCTCGAAGAATTGGAGACCAGTAGAACATTTTCTGACGAAAGAAAAACAAATAGTTAACGTAATTTACTTTTAATTTACTGTTGCTTGTTAGAATCCCCTCTTAAAAGGTTTCACCATTGTTTTGATGTATCTTACCTGAGACAGTTTTCTTTTCGTTTCAAGGGAACTGGCCTCACAAAAACTTGAATGTTTCCCAAGTTCTCTTATAAAACAATTTAGGTCATGGCAACTCTACAGTTTCTGAAAAAGGCCTTTGGCCTTTTGTGTTAGGTGCCTGTTACTAAAAAAAAAGTCACTGTTCATCGTAATTATTGATCACTGTATTGTAGTATATAGTTTGCAATCTTATGAAAGAAATCTGAAGATTCAGTTTTAAGTCAGCTCAATTTTTTTTTCGCCTCGTATAATGGGTGCTCACCATGGCATGTATTGGAGGTTTTCTTAAACATAGCAGAAAGATGAATGTCGATATAATGATTGTAATTTAAGGGTAAAATATAGGGGTCAGAGAAACCTGTTTTACAGCTACAGGCACACGAACCTAAATCTAGGGTGTGTTTTTGAAGGGCCGTGAAGTTGGTACGTTAACCTACAATGTTACGAAAATTGAATATCATTAAATGGTTGGAAAATAGTTGGTTATTTTCAAGGGAACACATGGTATAGTGCGCTAAAATTAATCCATCAAAGAAGTGGTGTTGAGACACTTAAGAGTGAATTTTAGAGTTTCATCGTGCTGTACCTATTTCATTTTGTAGATATTGTTTCCCAAGCTCTGATCATGCTGCGCTCATCAGTAAAACTTGATGTCTAAACTGTTCCATTTGCTTTTGATGAAAACTCAGTCTTGTAATAATTAAAAATTCCGGCAGGCTTATGATCAATGTATCGAGATAAAGGTAGTTCTTAGGATTTCCTCCATATTTGTTCCCCCAATTGCAGTTTATTGGCAGTCAATTTTCTACATTTCCGCCTGGAAACTTTAATACTAACGACAAACTCCCCCCTCCCCCCCGTTCCCCCTAGAAACCTTGCGATTCCCTTAAAATCCCCCCAACCTGGTGAGAAATAATGACTGTTTCGTACCAATTTCATTTGTGAAGGAATTTACTTTGAAAAATTTGTTTTCCATCCTTATGGAATATTTAGTTTGAATAAAAAGAACTACATTGCAATTTGTTTCTTACCTAAAAAAGAGTTTTTTAGCTGTTAGGTAGATAGATAAACAGTTGACTTTGATATTGAAAAGAAAAAACTTTTTCATTCAAAAATCGATAAGTAAACCATCTTTGTCCATCTTTTTCGTCTTTTCATGTATTAAACAAAGAAAGATTTTTGTTGCGAGTTTTACTCCCCATCTTTAAAGTATCGAGCTTATAGGGCACAGCAGTTTGGTTTTGTTGCTGCTCACTGACTCTGTAGAAAGTGTTTTCAGTACAAGCGAAAAGTGTTAGAAACGCTAGGAAAATATGGGAAATTACACGATCGAGCTTAACTTAAGTCTCAAACTTTCACTGAAATTCCGATGCAGAAGCAATCTATTTAAACCAGGTTATCATTTTCATGACCTGGTTAGTATATTTGTTCTGTGATTTTGCAAGGCAAGAGCCAACGGAACATTTTCACTCTCAGCGCCCTTCGATATGAAATAGTAGACGAATCAGTCACCATAAAGAAAACAAATTTCAATCTCTGTTTACTTTGCCTCAGAACAGGAAAATTCAGGATGTTCAACAGCTTCTTTTGTCAATAGTGTTTATAATGCACAATGAGAATGTGTAGTTTATGGATTATGATATGCTAACTGACCGACTACGATGAACGTCCTCTCAAAACATCTTTAGCTTGTGCAGTGATCTGGAGAGGAGAACTTCCCTATTTTCAGAACGTGTCAGTATTTGAACCTTTAGCAATAAGCGTTTTCCTTTTTTTCTTGGAATCTTAGCCTCGTTAGTTCAAAAGACGATTTGTGATTCATTATAGAGTAATCTTGTCGGTATTGGATGCGACACCTTTCTAAAGCAAAATGAACCTGTTTTACAGCGTAGCAATTCAAGTTGTAATGAAAATGGAAATCGTTTTGAAAATATAATTCTCCTTATAATATGTGGCAAACGGCATAGGCTGAAAAGTAGGGTATCATTGGGAAGAAATCATTACTTATCGCTGATAGGGTGACACGTTAAAATAAATACATTACTCCGTCTAAGATCCACCCAAGCTGATCAAACGACTCCAATCACTGTTCCATTATCCTGTATTGATCCCTTGTAGCGCTATATGCTGACGTGTCTAGATGGTCAGAAATACACATTGCTTATTGTCTATCAACTCTCCTTTCACTCGGTTTAATAGAGACTTTCCAATTGAACTTATAGACAATGGGCTCATAAATTTTAGAGCCGGGATTGTATTTTAATGCAACATAAAATCAAGGATGGACAAAGTTATCGAGGGCAAAAGAGAATGATCAAGGTCGGTTTCCCTGATGTCACACAACAAAAAATATTTCAGAAATGATCACTTACAGTGATGTTCTGAGAGGGATATGTTCGTTTTAGGTCTAAGTATCTATAGTAACAGAACTGTTTGATATTTGCAAGAAAGGTGCAGCAATACCGATGAGAAAGACTTCGCACCTAGCCTCGTCCTCGTGCCGTAATTTCGGGTACCGGGTACCAGATCAATGACTCACGACAACTCGGAAGAGGACGAAAATTCTAAACGCTGAGTAAGCACGAAATGAACTTCCAACGACTGCGAATGTTTTCGAATATAAATTTATAATTACGTTTTTATCATCACGGATAGTTACACTCAACCTAGTTCTTTACTGAAGGAATGACTCGAAGAAATCATTTAGCAATTTTAAAATTTAAATAATCATCATAACAACAAAGGAGCATTTATATTATAAAATCATTTGCTTGATTACAGGAGTTTTCCTGCCTTAGCTCAAAAACGGCGCTCAGGAACAGAACGATGCTTCTTTTAAAAACAGTGGGAATTTTCTTATCTACAACTTCATTTGAACACTTCTAAGCTCCTACAAGAACTGAGTTAACACAAGGTACTCGGGTGACGGTTGTTAGTTAGCTTACATTTGAAGTACATGCTGATGATCTTTGCGCGAAGCTAGCACAACGAATTGCCGCGTTACGGAAGATGGGGCGTTCACTTGCTCTTGAATAAAGGAAACATGCTGTATGCAATTCTGTATGCCTCGACCTTGTGACCATCTCTCTTTGTAAATGATATCCAAGAGTTATTATCCGACTGCAATAACTGTCTGTATTTTGACGAGCACCATAAAAAAATACTAACTTTCTGCATATAAACCCACACACAACCCACAATTCCTCCAGTCGCTCTGACGAAGGGCTAACGCTCGAAACGTCAGCTTTTTTACCCTTTACAGTGGCCAATTTACGTTTTCAACTCAGTTGTTAACACTAAATTACCTGCTATACTCTCCCACCGACGCAGCACCACAGTTTCTTTAGAAACTTACCCCCTCTATTCATTTGTCATTTATTTTCTTCGACCACTAACTCTTGCCTTAGAATTTTTACAATCCACAGATCTCGCAGCAACGGACCATGCCAAGCCTAAAGAGAATTACCAAGGAGCTACGCCAAGAAATCGTATTCCTGTTTTCTCGTCACCATATTCCCACCAATAGCGTAGCTCCACTTTCTGCATGAAACCCACACACAATCCACAATTCCTCCAATCGCTCTGACGGAGGGCTAACGCTCAAAACGTCAGCTTTTTTACCCTTTACGGTGGCCAATTTACGTTTTCACTGAACTCGGTTGTTAACACTAAATTACCTACTAACTTCTTATTAAACGAGCGCGAGGGCCGTACTGGGACGAGGTCGTGGGGGGTTATGAGCATAGCGAGGTCAGTACAAAAACTACCTAGAAACGGCTCAAGCAAGCGAGGGTTATCAAGCAGCTTATTGTATGCTGCTCGGACTCAACTTGCTCATTTTTTTCCTGTTAAAAGTATTCCGGTCACCTGAATTCAAAGGGCTTGTTCTGTGACATGTATTCGATGATGTGAGTAACTCAGAAAAAAAGATAGTCCACGAGTTTCAAACATATTTATTTAACGAAAAATCGGAGTGAATTTAGACAAGAATTCAAGAAAGAGCTACAACGGAATTAGTCAAAAATCAAACCAGCTACTGGTTTTTTTTCGAAATTTAGAAAAGGGTTTTGTAAGGAAAACATTGGCAATTATGGATCAAGAAAGTGTTGTTATGAAAATCAGTTCAAACGGTTCAAAATCAGTTCAAAGAAGCAGCTGTAAGGTCAATTGTTTTTATCGCTCTCGACAACACATTAACGCTTCTTTTTATTCATATCGATTTTTACATTGCAGTATAATATCTGGAAGGTGTATCCAGACGTAGATCCTATGTTTCAACCAGCAAAAACTAGAGCTGCGGAGAACAGTATAAGGTTGTGAGACTGGGTTATCGATGAATTTTCTTTCCTACTGGTAACGATTTCTGCAGCCGAGCAAGCGGCGACTTCAAAAAGAGTTAATAATGGATTATTTTTTGTGTTTTGTTGTTTGGGCTAAAACGTTTTAATATTGGCTAAAATACAGGTTTTCCTATGATTAGTTACCCCTTCAAATAGACTGTGAATAGAGGGTTTTAGATCCTGTTGAAATTGCTTAAACTATTTTAAATAGTTTGACACTGAAAAGATTTTCATTTACCTAATTTTCAAACACTTTAACTTACGGAAAAAATAACCTTTAAACCTTTGGATCTATATACGACCAGGAAAAAATGAACGGAACAACCTCCAGGCCTCAAAAAACCATAAGAAAACTAGACATCAACGTAATAATTTAGATCGTAT